GATAAAGAAGTGGACGCACAGGCAACGTACGGTACATATGGCGCTAACAATCTATACAACCGTTACGGTAGAGGCCGATACGGGCAGTCCAACTACTACGCCCGTTACGGAGGAGGTGCACAATATTCACCGGCAACCGGCACTTACTATACTAGTCCCCAATACTACTATTCACCATACACTAATTATTACTCTGCATATAATCCATATTCATATTCATACTCACGAATGTACGGTTCATACCCAGGATATTACGGTAACGGCTACGGCACCGGTTATGGCACAGGTTATGGCACCGGTTACGGTTATGGTAACCAGGGTCTCACTGGTTACGGTACCGGCCAGTACGGGGCGGGTCAGTATGGCGCTGGACAGTACGGAGCCGGGGCGGGTCAGTACGGACAGGCTGGCATGGCTGGCCAATATGGACGTGGTGGTGGTGCTGGTGGTGGCGCTTATAACCAATATGGCGGCGCAGGTAGGGGTGGCGCAGGTGGTGGTGCCGGTGGTGGTGGAGGCGCCGGTGCTGGCGAAGAGTAATTATATAGTAAAATTTATTATGGGCAATTATATAAATATATATTTATTTAACTTCTTAATTTGTTATTAATTCTCTATTTGGTGTTTAACTCAAATATTCAAATGTTTTTGTTAATGGTAATATTCTAGTTTAATTATATTGAGCTTATAGCAATTTTTATTTTATTATGTTGCAAATATGTTAATTTAAATTTTAACGGAGTTTGGGTATTAATGGTTGTGGATTAATATTAATTTTTATTTCAATTTTATAAATCTTAATATAATTGATATGTGTATAGATCCGATACAACTCTCATTATATATAATAGCGCAATTATAATTTTATTTGTTATTTAATTTAATTTGTTTATTAATTTTAAATATTTGTTGAGTAAAATATTATTTATGACCAGGACATAATTTAAATTGTTTTTGCATTTGTTGAAATTATATAAAGTAAACTTTATATATAATAAACTAAAAATATAATAAAATTATCATGTTTGTAAACCGTATGAATTATTATTTAATATTTATATTGACTATTATTTATAGTTATAATTCTATATGAGCTCTAGCAAACAAGGGTTTTCTTGTTGCACTGTAATACCTTATGTGATATACAATTAATTAATTAATTGTAACTTGTGTGTATGACATAAAACTTATTACATTTTGTGCCATGAAGGGCAATTGAACATCATATCAGCATAATATTACATAACCATCACACTATTTTATTTCGCAAAATAATTAATCACCATGCTACATCCCATCAAGTACATTGCACCAAATTAATCTTGGCACGAATAAAACTACTTAAATACCAGCGCGCTAAACATGGTTATTCATTAACATAGTTAACACAGAATTAACAAGTTAAAACAAACTGTTAATTAAACATGTTTACTCAAAACATTATCATCTCGGTGTTATGCTTAGTACTGGGCGCTAGTGCTTACTCATACGGCCCGTACCCACCACCGCCGCCGCCGCCCACATCCTACCCGTATAACCCATACCAGTCGGGCCCCTACCAGCCCAACCCATACCAGCCAACTGTCCATGATACAACTCAGTACGCCATGCAATCGGACGATGAAATGGGCATGCAGATTTTGTTTTTCAGTCGAAAAAACAACAAGACCGCTTACGTTATTACCAAGGCCGGTGGCATGGACATTTGGAAGGGTTCAAATTATAACGCTAATAATCCGACCAAGTTTATTGTACATGGTTTTGCCGATACGGCGTGGGCTGTATGGATGCGCAACATGAAAGATGAGTACTTGGCTGCCGGCGATTACAACGTGATACTTATCGATTGGACAGGCGGTGCCGGTCGACCATATGGACAGGTATTGGTCACTTTATTTTACTAATAACACACATATAGTGTAAAAATTTTGTCAGTAAATTGTAGTAATTTTTGATTTAAATGACTTAGATTGTTTAATTTGTTATTTGCGCTTTTTTAATAGGCCGTGGCAAATACTAAAATGTTGGGCATTGTTATTGCCAAAGTGACTGAGGACTTAAAAGTATATTGATAATTTAAAATTTTTATTTATAAACTATCTATTTAATTTTGCAACTTTTATTACTTTAATCAGATTGTGTTCGGCACTAAATATAGCGACGTTCATGTGATCGGCCACTCGTTGGGCGCCTACATCGCCGGTATCGCCGGTTCCCGATTGAATGGCACAATTGGTCGCATTTCCGCTTTAGATCCATCAGGTTAGATTTAATAATTCACATATATTATTAAATTATTTCATATAATAACATTGAACTTGGGTTAAACATAGGACCCAGCTATGATGGCCAGACAACCAACCCAGGCAAACTTAGCTATACAAATGTATAATAATAATTAAATATTTAGATAAATTATTACTAAACAACTAATTTTGTGTTAACCAGGCTCAATTTGTGGATGTAATTCACACCGACTCGTGCCCAATAACTGGCATGGGCACTATTGAGACTTTGGGTCATGTTGATTTTTTCCCCAATGACGGTACTGACCAACCTGGATGTCCCAACAATCAACCCAGCGGTAAATAAGCTACTTTATAGTTTAATTATTTGTGTTGGTTATTTAAACATGCCATTTACTTTTTAAATAGATATATACGGACCTGGTAGATGCAACACGGCCAGATCGATAGAACTGTTTACGGCCAGCATTAGCAATGCCAACCCTAAGGGCGTGGCCTATCAGTGCACCGATTATCTCACATTCCGGTCGGGCAGGTGTTCGTATAGTAGGAGTGCCAGCGGTCTTAACTATGCGTTTATCGGCGAACCTGCTATAATAACCAGTGCTTATACCAAAAATTCACCTGGTAATAAATACTATTTGACTACTGGCGCCATCTATCCCTATTTAAACAATAATTAAAATTTTGTTATTAACTTGTATAACAATATATTTGTTGTATTATGGTTGTTTTATTTTAAAATAAATTCTAATTCCTTAATAGTGCATTAAATTTGTTGTTAAAATTATTATTTTTATCATTTTTACTTTAAAAAGTATTTTTTATCTATCAACCTATCTTTATATGTCATAACAAAGTATTTTACTTCTGATTAATTGGTGTTCATATATGTATATACCGTATAAAATGACATTATTTTACCGGTAAACTTACTATGTAAAATTAAGTTTAAATATGATTGGTTGTAGTTTGTAGTGGAAATACATACACTGAGTTCCAAAGGTATTGAGGCAGTAGAATTCCATAGGATTCCATTAGAAGTGAATCAAAAGTATTTACGCAAAAGTGAAATTCATAGCAAATTAACAAAATTAAGGGGAAATTCTTTTGTAGTTGCAATTTTTTTTTGTTTTAAGTTAGGTAATATAATTACGTAAACAACAGATTTACATCGTGGTGATTAATTGCCTGTTTATTTTTATAAGTTATTATATTTTATATAAGTTTTTATAAAACAAGTATAGTAAATCTAATAACAAAATTTTTATAGTTATATTAATTATCCTTGGTAACGAGTAAATAATAAATAAAATAACTATGCAAGATGTAAAATTCTTAAAAATTAGTATTTTATTTAAAACATGATAATTTAATTAAAGTAACAAAAATTTTATTACGTGAATATATTTATTTTAAAAAACACTTAATTCACCATAATAACATATAATTTTAAAATTAACCAAGGAAATACGGATACTCGGCGCGAGTGGTCAGGTAGAATTTCTTACCAAGAGTGCTACTCTTATACGATTTAGACAATACAGCTGGCTCGCCAATTATGGGATGTATATCGTTTGAAAATAGGTTGAAATAATCAAGCATGTTACGATTGCATTGGCCTTTAGTGGCCACGTATCTTTTATAGTCGGAGCACTCGCTGGACACACCCTTCGGGTTTTCCGGGTTAATACTGGCCACGAATAAGTCAATGGCCCGAAAGTGATTGCATGACTCCTTCTGGAATTGATCTATACCAAGAGTATTTATTTAAAAGTTAATTGATTATTATTTCATCTAGTAGTTATCATGGTTAATACCTTTATCGCCCGCCTTGGGTGGCTCGTCGACAACGCAACCTGGTTGGTTTGTGTTGCCACCATCGGGGTAGAAGTCAATCTGGCCGGAGTTTTCGTGTATTCCCAGCCCAATGGTTGGGATAGCGTTCGTGTGTATAGCGTCCACGAATTGAGCCTGGTAAAAAATTATTTTGATAATTAAATTATAATGGTTATAACATATGTTGTGCATACGTCAGTTGCGCTGAGTTTCTCAGTTGCGGGTTTGCCATCAAAAGTCGGACCTTATTAAATATAAAATTATTTTTACATAGTTATTTTTAAAAATTTTATTTAGTCATTTTAGTTTACATACCAGCTGGGTCCAAGCCGGAAATACGTCCCAATCGTCCGCCAAATTTTTTGCCAGTTAAACCGGACACGTGTGCGCCCAATGAATGGCCCACAATATGCACCTTGCTCAATATTAATCCCGACTCACTCTGATTTTGGTAAATCAAATATAAGTTAACTACATATACTATATTATTTTACTTGTTATATGAATAGATATAATTATATTACCTGTAACTTTCTAATTAATGTAGCAATGGCCGTCGCCACAGTTGGTAAGTTTGTCCTTGTCTATATAAAATGTTATAGAGTTTAATTAAATTATTTAAAAAGTACAATAATTAAATAAATATACATAGTACATATAAAATAATTATACCTGAACATATGAGGGAATAATATTGCCTTCACTCCAGTCGACAATAAACACATTATAGTCGCCGGCATTTAAATACTCGTCTTTCATGGTCTGCCACGACTGGCCCTTATCGGGTGCCACACCATAGCCGTGTACCAAGATCTTGGTGACCCGGGTGCTGTCAAAATTGTCCACGCTACCTTCGCCCGACGGTTCTTCTATCACCTCGGCTTCACCAGGGTTGTTTCTGGTGTACAAATTGAACTTGGTGGTAAATTGTTGGGCAGTTAGTGGTGGTTGCGATTGCCCGGCAACAGTGCCTAGTACAATAAATACTAGAGTAGTAACTTTAAGCATGATTTAAATTTATATTGGCTTTGTATTGTTGTGCTGGATTATTATTTGGTATTTATATGTTTTTATCAGTAGGGTTATGTCATTAAAACATATTTTTACCATACTGATTAATTTAAAATGCCCATATCCGCGTTTATTTAGACATTTATTAATTAGTTTTATTAATATCGATGTATGATTAATTAATGTTTACAACATTTTAAATCATAACATTATTACCTTGAACAAAATAAAACAAATTGCAAAATTTATTCCTAGAATAATGACTACAAATCTGAAAATTAATTGTTTAATATTTGATTAATGATATGCATTAAATTCAAAACAAAATGTGCTAGGTGATTTATAGTATAAGTGCAGTAAAGCAAATTAATCACAGTTAAGTACATTAAATCTATTGGCATACAGTGGTTGAAATTATCTGGTCGACAAATATTAATATAAATTAAAAATATGCAGTTATAATGATACATTTTAAAGGCCAAGTTGCATAATGGTAGAACAATTTTATCTACTACTCGCTTAATTAATAGACAATTACTGGACCTACACTTCAGACTAATTTACACATTATTTTAGCAAACTTTATTTGTATTTATAAACAAAAACTTAATAAAATGCAAATACACTTTTACACTTTGTATACTTTTTTTCAATTTAAAATACAATTTAATAGTAATGATATTGATTTGCTTGTAAAAGTAATCCTGAAAATACAAATAGCTAGGGTTAGTGGACAGGTTATAAACCCGGATATATAAGCTCCTAATAAATGTCCTATTATATGCACTTTGCTTGATAATATACCTTTCACATTCTTTAACAAGTGTAATAAAATTACGATAATTTATTAATTATATTGTAAAGCGGCTTGGTGTAAATTACTGATTCACCTACATATAAAACCTTGATAACGTTTGTGATACCTAGCGCTAAGGTAAGTGTATTTACGTGTGCCTGTTTAATTTATTAATATTTAAAAATTAATAATATAGTAAAATGACTTTAATAATATATTTTTCTTACAAGAGTTGTGCAGATATTTGATGAATAATTATAAAATATTAGTCATGCAATTAATTATAATGTACATGCTATAAATATTAATAATTAATTGTAAAACTAAAAAACATGTAAATATTTTAAAACAATTTATTTATTTTGTCCTTGATTTACTATAGAATATAATTATAACATTGATATGTGTAATAGTACTGTAGACATTTTATGTTATAAAATATAATTTAAATTAACAATAATATACTGTATAATAATGATAATAAATAAAATGATTATAGTGAAATTTACTAATTTTAATTAAGTCTTAAAATATGGATAGGATGGGTTAGTGGACAAGTAATATTTTTTACCAACAGTGTTTTTCTTATAAGGTTCGGACAATACGGCCTGTTGGCCGATAATAGCACAGTTGGCCACACTATCAGCGCAGTTAGCATCGCAATCACCGGCCAGGTATGAGTCATAATCTTGACACTGATGGGCAACGCCAATAGGGTTATTGGGATTAATGCTGGCCACGTAAAAATCAACTGCCCGAATGTGATTGCATGTTAGACCAGCCCCAAAACCTAGTCATATTTTAAATTAATTAAAATAGTTTAATCATGATTCTGTTCTGGATATAACTGGATATATTCAAGATATATTCTGTTAATGCTGTAAAATATACCATTCATTGTGCTAAAAAACCCCGTCACCCAGCTCAATGAACAGCCCGGATGATTATGGCCGTTATTTGGCCAAAAGTCCAGGTGCCCACAGTTCTCTATTATACCAGCGCCTAAATATTGAAGTGCATCCGAGTGAATAAGGTCCACAAATCGAGCCTGGTTAAAAAGTAATGTTCATTTATTTAGTGTCTAGGTTTCAAATTTTACACACATTTGTTGGGTTGAGTTTGTCCGCCGCTGGCATACCGTTAAACCCAGGCCCTATTTACATAGGTGATTTAATTACGAAAATTATTTTTACGCATATTGTTGTTTCATATTGTCACAAAAAACAAATTAATCAAAGTTGTTTCAATGTAATACCAGCTGGATCTAGACCGGTAATGCGTCCTATCTGACCAGTAAATGCATGACCAATGAATCCGGCTATATGTGCTCCCAATGAATGCCCAATTATATGTACTTTGCTTAGTGAGAGTCCCTTTATATTCTAAAATAAATTGCAATAGAATAAACTAATGTTATTATTAAATAGTTTTTAATAATTAAATAAATATTTTTATCAAGGTTGGTATAATAATAATTAGTAAAAGCCTAGAATCACTTCTAGGATTATAAATAGTATTTTAGTCATATATACAGTACACTAATATGAGTGGTTGGGGTTTAATAAAAGTGATTAATATTTATATTAACACAAATAATTTACGCTTTAAAACATATTCACTTATATTGAGAGGGCATGTGATGTGCAGTTTAATAGTAACCTTTATAGTGTATCATCATTCATTATAAATAAAGGTTCTGGCGATTCCTAATAATAATAATAATACAGTATATGATTTTTACCTGTAAATCTTTGATAAAGTTTGTGGTACCTTGCGCAGCCGCGCGTGTATTTGCGTGTGCCTGATATAATTAATAATAAAATTTTAAAATGTGACAAATGCTTAGTTTCAGCAATGAAAACATACTTGATAATAATCACCGGTATTACCTTTGCTCCAGTTTACAAAAATTACATTACACTCAACGACATTCAAAAATTCATCGCGCATTGTCTTGGACCAGGCGCATTTCTCGTGGTCACCTAAATAACCATTTATAATAATTTTTGTGGGCAGTGAGCCATTAAAATTAGAATTAGTAATATCGGCCAGGTTATTCTCACTAGTAGGGTATGTGAAAACCTGTTTGGTTAGTGGATTATGGCGGGTGTACAGAATGAACATGATAGGAAATTGTTGAGCACCATATAAAGCGTCTGTAAATTTACATAATCCAATAAATAGTGCTAGAATTGAAAACTTTGCTATCATATTAAAATTTAATTTACTATATTATATCAAATAAATGTAATTGTAAAAGTATTTAATACAAATGCTCTTGCATACGTTTGAATTTATATAAATAACTAGCTCTAAAACATATACGTAACTAAAGGATTTACTAGTTCTAAAACATAAACAGGTTTACATCATGGTGATTAATTATAATACTGCGCTTAATTTGTAAATATTAGTTTCATAATAAACTTATTGTGGAATATTTTACAAAAATTAATTAGTAATAAATACACTGATATAATAATCATGGAAACGGATAATTATGAGATAATTTTTGTTAAATTAATTTTAAATCATTTGTTACATTAGAAATCATATACTTTCGATAAAAATAGATTTGTTTAATGAGAATGTAATACAGAAAAACCTTGTATCTTGAAATGGTCGGGTCCTGACAAATGACTTCAAGATAGAAGGATTTCAAGTTAGAAAAATTCAAGTTACAATGTTTGAAATGGGTTAATTTTCAAGTTAGGAGTTTATTGTTTATGTTAGATGTAAAAATAGCGAAAATATATTAATAATTTCTCATTTTTTGAATTATATATTTGTTTTTCGC